AAAAAACATTTTGGATGATAATTTTGTTTGTTCTGTATGTATTTTTCTTTTTATTATCTCTTTTGTTTATTTGTTTTACTTTATTTTCTTTTGGTAACAAGGAAATGGATGGATCAAAGTTGCTATGTACACTTGTATGGAAAAATCTCAATAAAAAAAAAAGAGGACGTGTTAAAACTCTGTTTAGTCAAAGTCTATTACAAGTGGCCCTTCGAGGGCCACCATAATGCTCATGTGGCCCTCGGTGAAAATGAGTTTGACCCCCCTGCTGTAGATTGTCTACTCCAACAGTTACATTTGTCTGCTGTAAATGAATTTTTAGAATCTTCTGCTTGTCTGAGGTGTTTTTGTGATTTCAGGCTCGACTGATCTCGCTGTATTTTGATACCGAAAGGTATCAGGAGGCCTTGGCTCTCGGTACGTGCTCAGAGAAAAACCTTCAAATTTTCTTCCTTGCTTCTCGTGCACGTCTTTAACTTGCTCCTTTCCTCAGGCTCTCAGCTGCTCCAGGAGCTGAAAAAGATGGACGACAAAGCTCTCCTCGTGGAGGTGCAGCTGCTGGAAAGTAAGACGTACCACGCTCTCAGTAACCTGCCCAAGGCCCGCGCCGCCCTCACCTCGGCCCGGACCACCGCCAACGCCATCTACTGCCCACCAAAGCTCCAGGCAGCTCTGGACATGCAGTCAGGTCAGACATGCTTGGTTGTGACGTGAAGTCTCACGTTGTTTACGTGTTTGAAGAACTTAGAGCAGCTTCAGGGTGCGTCATCAGSCTTGTAGGGTTTTGTTGATGAGTCACATGTTACGGTGGTTACRGCGGCTGGCTTTGGCTGTAAGCGCTAACGTGTCGTTTCTGCGACAGGGATCATCCACGCAGCGGAGGAGAAGGACTGGAAGACGGCCTACTCCTACTTCTTCGAGGCTTTTGAAGGTTACGACTCCATCGACAGTCCCAGAGCCATCACGGCACTCAAATACATGCTCCTGTGCAAAATCGTGCTCAGTTCGTAAGTAAAAACTTTAGTATAATTTGTGCAGAACCTGAAGTCCATATGGTGACTCTAAATCATGAACCTGTATTTGTGTTTGTTTCTTTCAGTCCAGAGGAGGTACAGGCTCTGATCAGCGGTAAACTGGCGCTGCGATACGCCGGCCGACAGGTAAGTTCCAGACGTCTTCGAGCTGAAACAAAAGGCTTTATTTGATTGTACGTTAAAACACTTTAAACAAATATTTGTTTTCCCCTTAAGCTGGATTCAAACAAACAAAAAATACATGAAATGTTTTGTCTTTGTGAATTTTAGACAGATGCTCTGAAATGTGTTGCCCAGGCCAGCAAGAACAGATCGTTAGCAGACTTTGAAAAGGTAAGAATCAGCTTAGACCTGATCAGTTCTGACRTTAGTACTCCATTTATCAGAGCACCTTTCATTCTGGTCTTCAGGGATCGATGTTTAGGGTTTTTCTGGTGTGTTGTGAAATTCAGCAATAAACAAACGAAAAATAAAACGATACAAACGTGCAGCGTAAACGCCGGGAGCTCGGTGACTGCTGAAGAACCTAAAACTGAGTTTTAAATCGAGAAGAAAGAGAATAATAGCAAAAAGTAGCAAGACGCTATTCCAAAGTATGAAAGATGAATTCTTAAAATAGGAAGACGCTAATTTATAGTAACTAAATTGTAGCTAAAAGCAGTAAAAAGACTAGATAAAAATAGCAAAGGTTTGCAAACAAGTCAGGAAAACAGCTGGACTCTTGACTCTTTTCCAGGTTTCAGTCACCAATATAAAATCTAAATCATGATTGGTTTAAAACATCATATTAAATAAAATTCAGAGTTATAAAGTAACTAAGTACAAATACTTTGTTACCGTTTTTAAGTATACATTTTGGGTATCTGTACTTTGATTGAGTAATTATTTTTCAGCCTACTTTTTACTTCTACTTCTTACATTTTTAAAAAGGACAAGAAGTAGAAAGTCGTTACTTTTAGTTCATTTTTGCTTGTTTTCATTCATCTCGTTATTAAAAGAAATATATATATATATATATATATATATAATATACACACACACACAAAAACACAAAACTGTGCCTCCTGGATAGAATGAATCTAATTGTGATTGAATGAGACATATAAATATAGATATACCATTTTGACACCGTATTAGTTTGTACACAATCCATCACAGCTGCACGACACAAATCATGTCTCACTCCAGGACATATCAGACTTATGTAGCCTGAAGATGTACATGGTATATACATATAAATATATACAGTACATACCTGAAACAGCTACATTAGTGCATCCTAATTTTTTTATATTAATATTTTAATAGTCATTTAGAAAAATGTTTTTTGGGGAGGCCACGTCCAAATAAATATCATTTTGGAAAATCGAACCTCTCATTTTTACTCAGTACTTTTGCTTTTAATACTTAAGTACGTTTTAAATCAGAAATTTACATTTGATACTTAAGTAAAAAAATATCAGATACTTTAAGACTTTTACTAAAGTAATATTCTTATTAACGGGGACTTTAACTTTTACCAAAGTAATTTTATGGTACTTGTACTTTTACTCAAGTATTACGTTGTGTTACTTTATACAACACTGAAAAAATAAAAAAAATTGTCAGCACCTGGTTAGTGCTGTACTAAACGATTATTTTCTAATCGATTAATCTAACGATTATTTTTTCGATTAATCAATTATTCTAACAATAAATCTATAAGTTATTCTGATGTGAGTGCACTGGAAATTTAAAATGTTTTCATCAAATTAACAAGAACAGTTCTTTAATATTGTAATATTTTCTGTAATAGTTTTTTCATGGAKACAAAATATGCACTCTAGAGTCAATTCTTTAACAAAAAAAGCTTAAAAGATTTAACATCAACATAAAATCTCAACCAAAGCATATAAAATTCAAGTAAAAGAAATATAGTGTAAGATGTTAACAATCTAACAAAGGAACTAAATCATGCGAAATTCAAGTCACTCTGGAAAAACTGTAATAAACATTTATTTATTATTTTTATTTAACATATTTCTCAATATATAAAAATTAACAAATATCAAGACAACATCCATCTCTTTGTATTGTAACATCAGTTGTGTAACTTATTTCTTTAAGGTGAAAACTGTTGAAAACAACAAGACTGTTTTGTCTTATTACACAAATTAAAATCCAGCTCCACATGTTTCTGTTGATGTCATTTCACCACTAGAAAAATGTGTGATGGAGGTCCATGGAAGGCAAATAAGTTTAAATCAAAAAAGAGGATGCAGTTAAAATAAATAAAAAGTATTTAAGCTACGTTTTGAACATCCACAACACGTCCAACACTTGTTGGCTGCTTGTGCTCTTTAGGTCAGACGTGTGTCGGGAAGCTCCTCTGTTGTTTCAGACGCTGGGGGAACCGTCTGATGGGGGAACCGTCTGATGGGGGAACGTGGCTCGACCTAACACCGGTCTCTGTTTAATGGAGGATGAAATAAAGAAAGTGGCGGTACTTTATTTACTTTGAGCAAGTGAACGTCGTGTTCACAAGATAATTAATCCAGCAGATAATTCAGAGGCGGTCTGTTGGGTAAATTTTACTCCAGGAGCTGCGAGGCTTTTTTCAAGCTTCAGACTGAACTGAAGCAGCYGCTGCTGACGTCATTACGCTGTTGTGATGCTGCGTTCAGGACAAGCATGGAAAACTCACCACTCTTATGCCAATACGGTCGCAATGATGCATTTAGGTACCGAAATGGAATTGCTTGAACATTGTGTGGTTATGTAATACAGCGAATCGATAATAAAAKATCTGCGTTGACAAWTTTACATAATCGACGTCATCGATTATTTCAACTAATCGGTGCAGCCCTACTCGTGACGTRCACGGCCTACCCCAGTTACCACTACTGTGCATGTGTGTCAAGGACAGAAAGGCAGATGTGGCAGRGGAAGGTGTCAAAGCAGTTTGGAGAGAAAAACAAAGTAAAGAACAAAAAAAAAAAAGAAAACGATTAATCGACTATTAAATTAGTCATCGATTATTTTAATAATCGATTAGTTGTCGATTAATCATAGCAGCCCTACACCTGGTACCAGACAGGTGTAAACTGGAGTGGACAACGTGCCGATGATGTCGCTCGGGTCCAGTCAGGACAGGGAGCGGCTCTCCAGCTGAAAATGCCCAAAGATCTTTAAACTTCAAAAATTGAGCCAGAGAGGTGGACAGAGACACGMGTCAGAAACAACTTCTAAAGTTAGCTTCGCCACGAGTTCCCTCACTATGAAAATATTTATTTATTTACCCTCTCTGTCCTTCAGGCCCTCACAGAGTACAAAGCAGAACTGAGGAACGATCCGATCATTAACACTCACCTGGCCAAACTGTACGACAACCTGCTGGAGCAGAACCTCATCAGGGTCATCGAACCCTTTTCCAGAGTGCAGGTAAGACTCTGCCAGGTGTATCCTTACAGGATGCATCACCTTGTAGGTGGAGATTCAACTCTTTATTTTATAATTTACAGCTTTATTCCAGTAAAATGTTCAGTTGAGAGTATTTTTTACCTTCGTTCATGTAAAGTTTGAAGAGATCCTGGATCGGTGTAATGATGTCACATTCAGACCTGTAACTGTTTGACTCTTCTGATTTCAGATAAAACACATATCAGATCTAATCAAACTATCCAAGGTAAGTTTAACAAATTTAGTTAACCTTTTCAGTTTAAAATTCCCTGTGAAAATGACTCGTTTGGTTCTGTTTTTAGAACGAAGTGGAGAGGAAATTATCACAGATGATTCTGGACAAAAAGTTTCACGGTAACCGGTTTRATTCCTAGTCGACGTCTGCGCCGCGTCAGAGGCAGGTTCGTGTTTTCATCTGGTTTTATGACTGCTCTGCAGGAATCCTCGACCAGGGAGAAGGCGTTTTAATCATATTCGAAGAGCCCCCGGCGGACAAAACGTACGAAGCAGCTTTGGAAACGATTCAGAACATGAGCAAAGTGGTGGACTCGCTTTACAACAAAGCCAAGAAGCTGACATAGGTGAGCAGATTTCAAGAGCGAGAAATAAAATACAGTTTATTCCCCTTTTGTAAATGTTTTCCCTCTTTTTCTTCCTTTTTTTTAAATCCTCAGAGCAGAACTCCGCAGCTGTGAGATGGAGAAAACGTGTGTTTTGACCAGCATGTGTATCATTTTTAAAGTCGGGGAGGAGCGATGCGGGGGAGAGCAACAAGCTGAACTCTCCCATCCCACTTCCCTCCCTAAATGGACTGTCTCATTACTTCTACTGTTTATTTCCTTTTTATCTTTGTTTTTATATCTCTTCAGGATTCTGTAAAAACACTCAGCGGCCAAATCAGGCCATCAGGGAATATATTACAACCACACTGACAGTAAGAATATTAGGTTTAGGGACACGTATGAGTTTCTATCTGCTCCGTCTGCGGACTCCACTGCAACCTCAAATGTGCAACGTCAACCTCTGTGGCCTCGCGCTCTGCCCCCAGCAGTAGCGAGGCTTCCCCCTTCACATCGTTCAGAAGCAAACTGTTCCGATTTTGGAAGGCTTGGATACTTTTTTGTGATGTTTAATTTTGGTCACTAACCCCTCCGTCATGATGCCAACCGTTGACTCCCCCTCTGTATTTCAGACACGTGTTAAAACGATTTGTTTCTGGTTTTAGTGCTTTTTGTTTTTAGGGAAAAATAAGAAGATTGCCACAGCCCCCCCCCCCCCCTGCTTTTTGTAAATTTATAGACTGTATGCCATTTCACCACTAGTGCCACGTTTTTGGCGCTTGAGTTTGCCTCGGTGTTTGGGTGCGATGTGAAACCGCGGGAGGTGGAGGCGTTTTTCGTTGCCTCTGAGCGTCTGAGTTTTCCCGAGTGAACACTTCTTCATTGGTAGTTCCTAGCACTAGCGTGGTATGCTAGTAACCAAACAATTTGTATGAGTTTGATTTGGTTTTGATTTATTTTTCTCTTTAAATGAAAAGTACATTTTCAAAAATAAATATTTTGTATTTTAAAGATTTTGTGTCATCTCTGATGAGATAACCTGAGTGTTTAAAAAGTGTTGATTCTAATTGGAATAACAAAAAGGAGATTATTTTTGTCTTTTGCTGTAATTCTTTTACAAATTTCACATCAAAGGGCATTACTCATTTGAACTCAGATTGTCTTGAGTTTTTGTTTTCACATAAATTGTATAACTGTATAAAATAAAACAAGTTTCTTAGGATGAACCTGTATAAACTGCACTGATCTCATAAAACAAAAGCTAAAACTGACACGTTTTTATCGTTTTGTTTTAGAAAAATTGTTATTTTAATACTTCAAAGACACAATTACTT